GAAATGTGATCCTTGAGGGGGGAAGGGAAGGAGACACTGAATTCAGCTAAAAACAGAAACATTGATTAGTTAGGCCAGAGGAGAGGTGGTTATGATGGGATGTGGCTGTGCTAGCTAGACCATGCTGGCCTAATACACATTTAAGTAGGATATGTTCACTGTCTCCCAAAATGTGGGCAGACACTCTGTCTTGTCCTTTGCCACACATTTGGAGTGACCAGGGGAATACAGAGTAGAGAATGTCTCAAATATTTATTGAGGGGGAAAAACTGACATGGTGGGAACTTGAGAATAAGAGGTGTTGCGTGTCGGGTGTGGATGTTCGCTCAGGTTTGTGGAATCAAGAGGCAGAGGCACCTGAAGGATGATTCTAGCCTTTCCCAGCTGCAGAGGGGATCCATCTCTACCAACTGTCTACCAACTGCTCCACTGTAGATTAGCAAAGGGCTCTTTTTTTTTTTTTAATTTTATTTATTTTATTTTACAATACCATTCAATTCTACATATCAGCCACGGGTTCCCCTATTCTCCCCACTCCCACCCCCTCCCCTTACCCCCAGCCCACCCCCCATTCCCACCTCCTCCAGGGCAAATCCTCCCCCGAGGACTGCGCTCAACCTGGTAGACTCGTCCAGGCAGGTCCAGTCCCTTCCTCCCAGACTGAGCCAAGCGTCCCTGCATAAGCTCCAGGTTTCAAACAGCCAACTCATGCAATGAGCACAGGACCTGGTACCACTGCCTAGTTGCCTCCCAAACTGATCAAGCCAATCAACTGTCACACCTATTCAGAGGGCCTGATCCAGCTGGGGGCCCCTCAGCGCAAAGGGCTCTTTTATTGTTCTCCAATTTACACCTTTTAGCAAGTAAATCTTTGTACCCCAAAAACCTCTTATCTAAAGTCTTCCCCAAGGGACAATGCCAAATGCAAATTCTCACTCAAGAAATACCTGTGGTGTTCCGGTTCTTTCTCAACCACATTTGCATAGGCTTTGCACCTTCAGAAGACTCTCAGACAAGATTCACATCAGGGGTGCCTCGAAACAAAAGGTAGCAATCCCAGAAGGCAGAATAAGGCCAGGTGCTAACACTCAAACCAGGTGCAGCTCTGTGGGAATTCTCCCAATAAAGTGGGGTTTCTTCCTGTTTTACATTTTGTTTCCTGAGACAGAGTCTAAATAGGTAGCCCAGGCTGGCCTTGACGCTCCTGACTCTGCCACCTGAGTGCTGGAGTGAGCCACGGGAGCTGATACAGTATATTACAGAAGAAACTGACTGCAGAAGGAGGCACTCATTCTCAGTGTCTGTGGGGAGAGGGTTTGGTCCTCAGCTCTCTTCAAGGTATTTACATTGAGACATAGAGGGGCTGGCAAGATGGCTCTGTATACAAGTGGTTGCTAGGATACCCCCTCCCCATATTGGAAGGAGATAACAGACTCCGGTAAGTGGTCCGTAAACCCCACATATGTACCACAACGTGTCCATGAACACACACACACACACACACACACACACACACACACACACACACACACACACAAATAAATGAATTAATAAAAAGTTTAAAAGGACATTTCTAGCTGGGCAGTGGTGGTACACACCTCTAATCCCAGCACTCAGGAGGCAGAGGCAAGTGGATCTCTGAGTTCGAGGCCAGCCTAGTCTACAGATCAAGTTCCAGGACAGGCTCCAAAGCTACACAGTGAAACCCAGATCCGCCTGGCTCTGCCTTCCGAGTGCTGGGATTAAAGGCGTGCGCCACTGCTGCCTGGCCTTATTTTTTGTTTATTTTTGAGATAGGGTCTCACTATGTAGACCTGGCTGGCATTGAACTTGCTAGGTGCTACAGGCTAGCCTCAAATTGAGGCTAGCCTCAAATTGGGGCAATTCTCCTGCCTCTGCCTTATAAATTTTGGATATAGCAGGGCTTCTTAAACTTTTCCATTTGTGACCCATTTTGCCTGAAAAATTTTTACATGACTCTGAATACATAGATATATAAGGAAGTATACAAATCAAATATTTACTGATGATAAATCATAAATTTACGTTCAACATACTTAATATATGATTTATATTCATATATATGTATAATTTTTTAATGTAGGTTTTCACTGTGTAGCCATGGTTGTCCTAGAACTTGCTTTGTAGACCAGGCTGGCCTCAAACTCATAGAAATCCTGCCTCTGCCTCTGGAGTGCTGGGATTAAAGGCATGTAATTTAAATTAAATTAAATTAATGATTATTGTGTGGGGAGGGGGTCATCGGCGCGCATGCGTGAGTGAATGTGTGGCGGTCAGAAGGCACCTTTGACAGCCGGTTCCCGAACCTCCTTCCATGATCGGTTCCAAGGATGGAACTCAGGCTGTCAGGGTTGCTCGGCAATGAAGCCATCTTGCCAGCTCTAATACGCATTCACTCTTGCCTACTAAAGACGACAGTAATTTGGCTGCTAGTAAGATGGGCATGTTTGGCCAGGTGGTGGCACACGCATCCCAGCACTCCAGGAATGGGGAAGAGCAGGTTGAGGCAATTGGATTTCCGAGTTGGAGGCCAGTCTGGTTACAGAGTGAGTTCCAGGACAGCCAGGGCTACACAGAGAATCTTGTCTCGGAGTTAAAAAAAAA